GGGCGGTCAACCTGATAACATCACGAGGCCTTTTAGCTCTTTGAGTCGTGGCGCCGGGAGGGGCTTTGTCAGGATGTCCGCACGCATTTGCACGGACTCGCAGTACGCTACGATCACCTGGGAAGCAATGAATCCTTCTAGATACACTCTTAATTCAGAGCTTTCCACGATCGCAAGACCCTTCTCCTTGTGCATAACCTTTCTTCTACACCGCTGCCGGCTGCATGCTGGACAATCTACATCGTTTGAACTTGACCTTGAACGTGAACAACTTCCTACCGCTAGGTAAAATAATAATCCTTTGCCCTCTCAGAATATAACACTTTCTTCACTAATGGTACATATTTCCTTTGAAGCTGAACCGCCTACCTATCGTTCTACGAGTTTCGTTTACAAATCATGTCAAATATATGTGCCAGCTTTACAAAAACGAATGCAAAATACGTAGATGTTGGTTCCAGGATCAGCTCGCCGCGCTAAACTTGTAGCCCAATACATAGCTGAGAACGACGGCGTTTCCTCTGCCTACGGTGCACTCATGATCTTCAAGAAGGTTGGTCGTCGCCTCTCTTGCTTTGGGATGTCACCGAAGTGTACGTATCCGCATTCGTAGACTCCGCCTCCATCATGATATCGTCGTTAGCGGCTTTTGGATCGTTCGTGTGCGCGTGCTACATTTAAGTTTGGCTGCCTCGATGCTTCCCCCACTAATTTTCGCGCCATTAATGGCGATTATACTTCACTAATTTTCGCGCCATTAATGGCGATTATACTTCATAGACCATGTAGGAGTTGTTGCGATAGTACTGGTCGTTGCCCTAGGCAATACTAGCATAAAATTTTACACCGTCAATATGCCAAAACGTGTATACTCCACACGGTTGGAAGTCTATGCTTGACTTCTCTTTGATGGTCTTACCATTCATTTCAGATTTCAGCTTGTGCCCCAGACAGCAACTTATGCCAAGTATGGCTACCTCTGGAGAGGCGTCAGATCGTTCAGAACGCTTGCTGTCGGCTTAAACACTTCGTGCTGCGCCTCGCCAACGCAGTGACGCGTGTGCCTTGACCACCTTTTAGACACTCCGCATACAGGCATCACAACCTGAGTTCTACACTTACATCAACAATAGGGTGAACAGTCAAGATGAACTCGCGAAATTCCTCCACCGTTGTGAGCGTGTTCATCGCTACTTCCTCTTTCTGTTCGAGGACGCCGTTCTCAATCGATCGCAGTAGATCCACTGTTGTAAGTGGAACCTAACTTGCAATGTTGTGAGGTGAGCACGGCAAAATCGAAAGTGACAACGAGTTCAAGCCACCACCACACGGTTCACAACATTTATTCCCGCACCAATGCCTTCTGGTACCATGGCGTCGATTTAGCACGTAATCTATTCTTTGATAGTTCATAAAACTTGCATTAACGCAGATATATTGTTTGTGTTCATTTTCGACCGTACTTGACACTTATCCAGTTACCTAGAATACCTTTGCGTACAGATGGCAGATCCCGAGCTTCAAGCCCTTCCAGATAAATTTGACTGTTGAGGTGGTGAACAGTCGCCGAATCTTGTGATATATAAGACGCCAGAGCGATTCACTGGTTTCCAACATGCCGCCAATGACTACGATACATCACCGTGTCTTCTTTTCTTCATCACCGCGGTTTGGTAGCAGTGGAAATTTTAAACAGTTGTAACAATGATAATCATTTAGATATCTTTAAAATATAACAAAGTCATAATAGCATCGGCACTCTGCTACTTGCGTCATGTAGAACTGAGCTTTCTGGTTTGTTCACCTATCTTTGACGCACGTGGGACTTCATGCTTCAACTTCGATTTAAAATATGTACAGCTAAACAGTACAAGTCCGTGTCACATGCAGCGCATCCTGTATCCCTTCACAAGTTTCGTAAAAACTGGACTTTATCTAAGTGGCTGTTAATTCCTTATCTACATGTAGTTACCGTACTTTTCTGTTTGAAACGTCGGTCAGTCGGATTTGATGGTCAGTATACCCAAGTATTTTTTAATCGAAAACTACCCCCAGGGTGTTCGATTCTAATTATAGACCCTAACCCTATTTCTAATGTTGTCCTTTTATGTCTGCAAAAATGGTATTTAAGGTTTTCAATCCAAGTAAAACGTCTTATGAACGTTTCGTTAGAGGGGAGCTTTGCCCCAACAACAAAAAAAATTATCTTGCCGATGTACCCACATTTTGATTCAGTTATCGTGCCAGTTTACTCAAGGATGGCGACTTCGTTGGCCGCGATGGCTCAGCGTGATGAATGCACGGGGTTACCGCCGGTTGCTTGCGAATGGAACAAGTATTTTCCATGGTACTTGCTTACGACTTCAAAATCAGGTTGTTGACTACTTCATTGACTGTAGGAGATGGGATTGACGGTATGTGAGGGAGATCAAGTAGCTGCAGGTATTTTCTGCAGTACAACCACATGTCGAGTGCGTTATCGGCGGCTTGATCGAATGCAAGTGGTCTGATTGACGGTATGTGGGAAGGACAAGCTCAAAGGCTTATCTCGTTGCTAAAGCACTCCAACACTAATCGTGGAGGAAGAAGGACAAAGTGGCCGACGCTCAAGACGGCAGCTTAGGCAAGCAAATGCGAGCCGTTTACTGCGAGAGAGCAGGCTGAAGCGCGCCAGCGCCGGCGCTGAAGGTGGTAATATGCTGTAATACTGCTTCGGGCTGACAGGTTGGCTATTATATAACCAAAGCGAACGCTTTTTCTAGAGTAGTGACTAGATAGAGGCAAACCGCTGAGTTCTATGGCAGAGAAAAAAAAAAACACTCATATAATTCACTACGGAAGCTGACCCACAGAAGAAGATTATGCTATACCCACTTAAGGTGCACACGTTACTTTTAAACTCAGTGCGAGTAATTCAGGTTTACTTTGAAACTTAGTGTTGCTTAACTATTTCCCACGTCTCCAAATTCCTATTTACCGTTCTACATACTATGATAGGAGACGCTGGCGGATAATACAATTTATTGAAATCAGCGCATACGCTAATACAGAGATACTGCGGGCGTAGTAGATGCGTTATTTCGGGGGTACGGTTATTTATTATTCAGGGGTTTGTGGGACCTCTTTTAGCCAAAGCATGTACACCTTATTACTTCATCAATGATCGTCATTGCTGCCAATAATACCGATGTCGTCCGTCTGTATGACATCTGCGCTATGATTGCAAGTCTCTCCAGTTTAGCTCGTGAAGGATTGATAATAGTAAGAGTTAAACTATTACATTATTTTCTGGTGCTTCCGTCTTATCGGATTGCAATGTGGTTATGGGCTTAGTATTTGTTAGTTAGATGAGAAACAAAGGGATCGGATCCTATTCCAGCCACGCATAGCCCTGGTAATTCTTATTTTCTTATTGACTGTATTTTTAGAATGCAACCTAGAAAAGCTTCATACGGTCCATTGATGAAACGATATAGTCTTCGCGAATCAATTAAATACTTCTAAAATTGCTGGGACTAGCTTCTATTTGCCGCCGCCATCTACGCCATTGATGAACATGCTATTAAAGTTACTACGCGACTTC